TGCTCAAATGTGCCGTGAACAACTGCCTGGTGCAGTTTAGCTTTGAATAAATAAATGGAGCATTATGTTTTCCAGGCCTCTGGTGTTTGTTATGCTGAGTTCATACAGGCTGGTGTCTTTTGGAGACATGGAATATATTGAGCAGTGAAATATGAGCCATGTGCTCCATGGGATGGCAATGGGAGAACAGAAGCTGAAGCATCATAAACCGAACCAGAAGTGGTTTATGGGCTGTCACCAACCTAGAAATGAGATTCATGGCCCAAATCCAAATTTTGCAGATCTGTACCTGTATTAAGGAGTCAGCAGGTATCATCCCAGATCTCTCTCTTGCTCCATCCCTTTCAGACATGCTGGTGGATGCTGCAATTCTTCTGCTCCAGGGTATATCCCAGCTGAGTCTGAGCAGCCTCCTGTCCTCCTTCAGGGGTGAAATATCAATCAGTCACGTGAGGTTTGCTGTGCTGTTGGTACAGAATGGAAATGTCAGTGATTCTGTGCTGCCACAGCATCCTCTGCCAGCCTCACGTGCCCATAGCTCTCCCCTGGAGTTTAGAGCTGACCTGCTGGGCTCTGATGGGGCTGCTCACATATCACTGGGGGTTTGCTGTGCTCAGAGGGGTTTGAAACTGTAGAAGCAGCTTGTTTGGGCGTTCCTTTTTTATTATAATTTGAAACCAAATCTGCCCCATCCCCCAGCAGTTAAAGCTTGGAAATAATGAAGTCTTAACTCCTGACACTCTCCTGGAATTGCAGAAATTTTAAAGACTGATAACCTTTCTACCCAACTTTGTAAGTAGCTTTTGAGACTGAAATCAGCTGCTGGAGCTGCTCTTGTGTGCTGAGCCTGAGCCCCAGGCAGGTTTGTACAGTAGGTTATGAACCCTCAGTAATAAGGATTTATAATGGGAATCCTGCTATATTCTTAATTATACTCCTGCTGCAGGGTGTCATTATAGTGCACTAATGCCCTCCATATGGCAGATAGTGTGTGCTTGGTTCTGTGTGGTTTTATTTAATTACAGACCTTTATTTGAGTAACTTCTCTGCCCAGAGTCTGAGGCCTGTGCAGGTGCACTGCAGGTGCTCTTCTGGTGCTCAGGATTCACTGCTGATTTTTAAGCTGAGAGTTTGGGAGGGGGCCACAGAGAAGTCATTGACCCTCACAAGGTAGAGAGGCCCTGGCACAGGGTGCCCAGAGCAGCTGTGGCTGCCCCATCCCTGGAGGTGCCCAAGGCCAGGCTGGATAGGGCTTGGAGCACCCTGGGATAGGGGAAGGTGTCCCTGCCCATGGCAGTGAGTGGGTCTGGATGAGCTTTAAGGTCCCTTCCAACCCAGAGTGTTTGAGGATTCTGTGATTTTAGTTCTGTCAGGGTGACCTTGCTGTGTCCTTGGCAGTCTCTGATGCTGCGTGCAGAGACTGAGAACAAACTTCTGCATTTGCATTGCTGCTGAGTGTAAGGTGAGGTTTATAAAGCCCCTTTCAGAAAGCTCCAGGAGCATCAAGGTGCCTCCAAAACTGGGTGAGTGTCACCCTGACAGAGTGATGGTCAGTCTGGTGCTGCCCAAATGGGGCTCCTGCCCTGTGTTGTGTGAAGCTCTTTATTCTGGGACAGAAGCACTGGGGCTGCTTTAATGGCCCTCAGTCTCAATGGATTCATTGGCTTCAAACTTCAGCAGTGGCTGAGGAAGAAGAGCTGGAGAGATCAGAATGGACACCATGGCTTGGCATCCATCAGAGCAGTGGGGAGCAGAGCCTCTGCAGGGCACTGTGTGCCCTTGGGGACAGGGGTCACTGCCCTCTGCACACCCCTGTGTCCCTGCTGCTCCTGCAGGCTGCCATCAGAGAGGAGGAGGCATCCTGCCCATGTAAGGAGCCATGGCTGCTGCTGCCATGGGCACTGTGAGGTGGGGAGTCACTGGGCAGGATTCTCCTCCTGTCCTGCAGCAGGACAGACCCCAGCCTGCCACGAGGCTGGCTTGGCCTCGCTGGCCTTCTGCAAACAAATGTCCCTTCCTCTGTTAGCAGAACTGTGCTCAGGGTGGTTTGTTTTGAGTCAGGCTCTGTTTTGGAGGCACTGGCCAGTTGCTATGTTCCCTGCCTGCCTGGAAGAGCTCGCCCCGGCCCTGGCTGGACTCTCAGCCGCACCCAGCTCCTTTTTTTGGGACATTTGTGTCTCTCACCAAATGTAGGCAAATGTGAAACTAAATCCAAGAGCTCCAGTCCTGGTAACTGCTCCACAGCTCCTTCCAGGCACATTCCTGCTGTGGGGTTAATGAGGGACACTCTGCTCTCCTTGCAGCCTTTCCTTCTCCCAGAGTGCTTCAGCTGTGCAGGAGTTTCTCCTTCCCTGCTGGGGGTTGAGGGCTCCCTGTCTGTCCCACGTGGAGCCACTGCCCCTCTGCATCAGAGATAACAGATATGGTTCTATTAATTTAGAGGGTGGAAGTATTTTATGGTTTTATTTCTGTGGCTGTAAAACAAATAAACCATAAAATCCCCACCCCAAAGCAACCCCACAGCACAACCAGAGGTGGGCACTTGGTGCTTCAGTGGAAAAATACAGGTTAAGCCAAAACAAATCAGAACTGTGTGTTCAGGCTACAACTAAGTCTGAGCTGCAGTGCTATATTTAAACATGGTATTTTTGTATTTTAATAATTAACCAGTGGGAAAGGACAGCCTAAAAAACTGTAGTCTAGGCTGTTTTCAAGGTATCTTCTCTTCAGCCCCTTGTGCAGCTGAGGAGAGGCTGCAGAGGATGGGGATGCTCTAAAGCTTTGGTTCCCTCTCTAGGTTTGTCCTTCCCCTCATGCTTCTCTTTGCAGCCTCCTAACAGTTAAATCAGGCTGGTCAGCCATAAACCCGTGTTTGAAGTGGTGTGTGAGTCTGTTTGAGGTGTTTGCTTCTGGTGGAGAGCCGAGGGCAGGGCAGGATTTCCCTCTGCAGTAATGGTAACAGCTGGGACTGTGACCAGCACTTGGCAAAGGAGGGCTGGGAAAGGTAAATCCTCTGCCACGTGATTGTTTCATTTCCATTCAGTTTTATATAGCACAAGGCAATTCCCTGCTTTTGAGGAAAGGTCGTGGGTGTTTCAGTGCTCCAGAGGCACCTGCAAGTCCTCAAGGCAGGGCTGGGACTGCAGAGCTGGCAGTGCTGGGGGCTGAGCCTGGACAGCATCAAGTCTCTCTCAGATCAGGAGAGAGCAGCACGATGGAAACAAAGGAACTTGGCCTCAGAGTTAATTTGCAATCTGAATCCAGCTAGAGATTCCCAGACAAGTTCCAAGAGCAGCTCCAGCTCAGAGATTTACCTTGTCCTGGAACTGATGGGCACCAATCTGCAAAGTTTAATGTCCTTAAACTTCTGGAGCTTCTGATGATTTCCCAAGCTGATTTTCAAATCTCTCAGTAAATGGGTGTTAATTGTATTTCAAGCCCAACAGAGCTGCTCATCCTCATGGTTTTCCAGGGGCAGAGGACCTGCATCCTTAAAAGCTGTCACAGCTCACAGCACTGCCTGGGCCCTGGTGAGATTTAACCCTGCCAGTGCAGTGCCTGCTGCTCCCTGCAGGAGGAGAGGCTTCTGGAGATCTGCCTTGGCAGGAGCCTTGCAAGAGCTCTCATTGTTTCACCAGAACCCCTCTGTGGTGGGGCTCAGCTCCAAGCTGCCCCTGAGGGTGCACAGCAGGCAGGTCCAGCCCCTTGCAGCATCCCCAGGAGCTGCTCACAGCAGTGGGGAGTCGTGCAGCTGCACCAAACACAGCACCACTCTGGGAGCCAGGGGTGAAATCCAGGGCAACTTGGACTCCTTCCCCAAGAATGTCCTTAAATGACCAGGAGAAAAAAAGTTGAGTAAGAGTTGAGGTTCATTCCCCCACTCTGTGGCCAGTCACTTTGCATTCAGCAGCAGCCACTCAGAAGTGCCTCACAGGGGTGTTTGCTTGGGAGATTTCCTTTTGGGAATCTTACTGGAGGCTTTTTTTTTTTTTTTTTAATTTTCTGCTCAGTTATAGACTGAAGGCTGGGGTAGACAACCAGCCCTGAGCTTCTCAAGTGTGTTTCTCTTTGGGCAACAGTGGAGTTCAGTGCTGAGTATTGAAGGGTCTGAACTGACCAGCTGAGCTGCAGTTTGTCTTTCCTCTTACAAACTAACCTGGGAATTGTCAGTTCTCCCTCTGCACCACTGCATTGGAAGCCTCAATTTACAAATTCTGCTCAAAAATTGCTTGAAAAGTTTCTCTTCTCATTTAGGGAAGTCTCCTGAAAGTTCACTGGGAATTGCAATTAATTTATTCTTTTGTATGTGTGGCAAATGCAGCTCTTAAGAGGACTCAGACCCATTCCAGCAGAGTTTGAACCTTTTCTTCCTCACTGCCTGAGGTTTGCCTGGAGCTGATGGAGCTGTCTCCTGCTCCCTCTCCTGGGTCCTGCAGGCATTTGCCCCGTCATGCTGTTATCCCACACACTCTGTTATCAAACCCTTTGGAAGCACCTGCTCCATGCATGGCATTGGGAAATATGATGGTTTAAAAAATAAATCAAGCCAAAACAAAAATGCCCAACAAAGCAGAGTGTGGGGAAGCTGAGCTCCCAGTCAGCTTGCTGGGAAGGAGGGGGTGAGAGCATTGCTGCAGTTTCACTGCTGGTGTAGGGGGCTGTGTGCTCCTGCAGGGTGAGGGAGGAGTTTGGGGCTCCCTCTCACCCCCAGGCTCTGCTGGGGGATGCTTTTGTTGAAGCTTTTTATTGCCAGGCACTGGCAGGTTGTGGAAGGGAAGGCTCTGCAGAGCCTCAACCTCTCCACATCCCTTGTGGTCCATCCATCCCAACAAAGACTGCCCAGGCAGGGTGTCCAGGGAACCTCTTCTGCTTCAGAGATACCTTAACATTCTTTCCTGCATTTCTTCAGCTGTCACGTGGGAGGTGAAATCCTGAGCTGCTTTTACCTTTCCCTGAAGCTTTATTAATAATGTAACACATGCTTTTTTCTTTATTTCCAGATTGAAAAGATCATGAGTTCCATCGGCGAAGGCATTGACTTTTCCCAGGAGCAGCACAGGATCTCAGGTAGGGTACCCAGCCTGTGTCTGTCTGTCCTGGCTGTGCTCTGCACACCAACAAGGTGCTGGCTCCTGTGTGTGGATGTCTTTAACCTGTTTGGCTCTGGGAGGGAGAGGAATGCTCTGGCACAGGAGTTGCAGACCTGGGTTCCCACATGATGCTCAAGGCTGCTGCCAGCAATTTTAATTCTACACTCCTTGGGAAGATTCGATTAATTTTACAGAATGCAGCTGCAGGATTTTCCTCCCAGCTCTTTCCCTGAGGGCAGCAGCTGTGCTGGGCAGGGCTGGGTGGTGCCAGTGTGGGTGCCATGGTGGCCATGCCCTTTGCATGTGGCTGATGTGCCAGGTGCCTCAGGGACTGGGCATTTCTAAATGCACCTGAAAAAGGCTCTTGGGCAACCCTCAAAATGTGAATTCCCTTCTCTGCCTTTGAGGTGTGAGCAAAAGCAGAGCTCAGGCTTGCTGGGGAGCTGCCATCACAGGGGATTCTGTCCTTTTAAATCCTTCACCTCCAGCCTGCTGCAGCAGAGCAGCCCTGATCTGGATGGGCAGCAGCTCCTCCTGATGAGATGCTAATACAGATCTGCACACACAGCTCACACGGGCTGTGACAGAGCTCACATCATCTCCATTTGTCACTCAGGTTTTTGCTTAGGTGAGGAGGAACCCACTGTTCCCAGTGGGAGTTCAGCCTGATTCAGGCTCTGCATTCCAGGATCAGATGGCTTTGCAGAGGAGTTGAGGCTGTGTGGGTTTGCTCCCTGCTCTGACAGCCCTTCCCACACCGGTTCAGGCTGTGATGGATCAATAGCAGCAGGGAAAGGCCTGACATGGAGGAGAGAGGCAGAGCCAGGGCTCCTGCAGAGCAAAGGCAGGATTCCAGAATGTGGAGCATAGGGGGAAGGATGGAGCTGAGAAATAGGAGTTTGTTTCAGCCAGAAGTTGTGATCAGGATCTTGCCAGGGGGCACAAGTACTGTGATTCTTCTGTTCTTGTATCATCCTTGTAACACACAAATATCAGGTGTACTTGGGGCATCTTCGTTTTCAGCCTGGAATGTTTTAGGTGTCTGTTCTGTTTTTGAAGAACACTCCTCCATTCCCTCCCTCCAACTACTTCCCTCTCTTCATTTTGTCATGACTTGAAAGGGTTTTGTTAACAGAAAACCTGCACTTGGTATCACTGTAGGTTTCCGTTTTGAAAGCAGAAATGTATTTACAGGTGCATACAAGGCTGAATAGAGTAAATAATTTTAAAAATTAAATGCAGGAGCTCTGAGGAAGGAGCTGCTGTGGTTTCATTCCTTCTGCCAATACCCCGACAGCTCCCAGGAATGCTGTGGTAGGCAGCAAGCCCTTCCTCACCTCTCTCTTGATGAATTAATTCTGAGCCAGCCACAAATCACTTGGATCTGTCGGAGCAAACCTGTGACATCATTTTTTAAAACCCCCAAGCCGTGTTGTCCATCATGGAGTAAATACTGAGGAGTCAGTGATTTCCACTGGAGAGTTGCGGAGCCGCTGCCTCCCTCCCGGCGGGTGGGAGCACTGGGAGGGGGGAGAGGATGAGGAGAAGGGAGGGACAGCCAGGGGCTCGCGGCTCAGACAAAGCCGCCGCCGCAGCCGGCGGAGCGCAGGGAAAGGATAAAGGATGGAGGGGAGGATGGAGACCTGGAGAGAGGCAGCTCCTGGCACACAGTCCGGGCTGAGCTGCTGCCCCCGGGCATGGGCTGGCTCAGGGCAGGGGGGCAGAAGCCTTTTGTGATCTGCGCTGGAAGGACCGGCCGGCGCTCCTCAATACCGAATACCGGCACGGGAGCAACCCCGGGAGCAGCCAGCAGGAATTACCCCAGGGATCTGCAGGTGACACCGTGAGCTCTGCGTGTGCAGCATTGCAGCACAGTGGGGAGGGATGGCTGGAAGGTACCAAAGTGCTTCAGCTGACCTGAAGGTTCAAAGGAAGCAAACGGGGGTCTCCTGATCGTCCTTTTCTTTGCATCCATGCTGGAAAGAGACGTGCCAGGGAGCCTGGAAATCTGCCTGTCTTGCATAGCAAATTCCCTGGTGAAAAGGAGATCTCTGAACTTTTTTTTGGTCATACTTAAGGTCTTGAGCTTTACTAGAGAAGAGTAACAAGTCACTGGACTCATCCCAGGGATGAGGGAAGGGAGAGCTCATCTGCCAGGGCTTCCATAGGTGTTGTGAGGAATCTCCTTTATCAGAGGCTGAGGGGGAGGTGCCAGGGCATGGCTCGGACTTGAGCTGCTGCAGGAAGAGGAGAGAGTGTGCTTGCATTTGCTTTTTTCCTCTTGCTGTGGGCTCGGAAGCAGGGAACCGAAATGCCTCCTTCCTGCAGAGCTGCTCCCCGTCTGAGCGAGGGGCTCCGTGCGGCGGCTGCGCTCGGCTGAAGAAAATGAAGGAAGGGCAAATCCAGGTGCGTGCCCAACACCTGGCAGGACCAGCAGTGTTGGGTGAGAACCGTCCTGGCTGTGCTGTCACACGGTGCAGAGGTGGGGCTGGGCTCTCAGGGGCCAGCGTGCTGGAATGCCAAGAGGTCCGGGCAGCGTGCCGGAATGCCGAGCGATCGGATCGCTGGTAAATGACAGAGCCAGGGCTGCCGGACGTGAGCCTGGGGTCCCCATAACACAGAAACGGCGAGACCAAGCCCCTGCCATGGTTTGCCTCTCTCAGGACTGCTGGGGAGGAAGAGCACAAGCCCTTCCTCTCGGCTGCTGCAGTCTGTGCTTCCTTTGTCTTGCGTGTCTTCCCGCGGCCAGCCGCTCTGCCTGGGCTCCTGCTGCTTTCCCGAGCATCCACCGTGTCCGAGCTGGCTCGGCTGCATGAAGCTGTTTCCTCCCAGGCTGCTCCGTGCTCCCCGCTGAGCCGGGGCTGTGTCCAGAGGTGTGTGGATGAGAGGACTGGCACAGCTCCGCTCCCTTCCCTCGCACCTGCGACTGCCTGGGAATGCCTCGGGTGGAAGTTTGCTGCTCTCCTCCCGCCCCCTTCCGCTGAGCCGAGGAGTGGATCCGCATCCCCACGGGGTTGGGCTTCATGTGCTTGCCTGGCGAGGAACTCACGAGCCCTGACAGCAGTGCCTGTGATCTCAGCGCCCCAGCAGCGCCTCTGAATCTCTGCCCGCACGAGGAGTTTCTTTTCCGAGTGTGAACTGCAGAGAGATTTGCACCCGGAGCCCGCCGAGGCAGCGCGAGCTCGTTGTCCATGCTCTGTGCACACAAGAGGAATTGTCAGCCCGCTGATTTGTTGTACTCTGAGCATAATTTTTTGAGTTTCTTTATGGTAATGACTATGATGTGGCAATGCCATCTGTCCTCCTCAGAGTGCCGCTGCTACCGCCTGAACGGTTTCTCCCTGTTCAAGCGGCTGCCGATTCCTCTCTCGTCAGGTTCGCGGATGCTGGAGCAGAGCGTCGGGGAGTGGCTGGAGTCCATCGGCCTGCAGCAGTACGAGAGCAAGCTGCTCCTGAATGGCTTTGATGATGTTCGCTTCCTGGTGAGTGCCCCCAGGGAGCCCGGCCTCTGGGGGATGCCTTGGCCAAAGCTTCCCACCTTGGCAATGCCCCGAGTGGGCACCGGGCAGAGCCGGGTCCTGCTGCTCGCCAGGATGGTGTTGGGGGGTGTAGGAGGTTGGGCAGAAGGAATAGATGAGGGTTGTGTTGGGTTTTTGCATTTAATTCAGGTGCTGTTGGTTTTCTCGCTAAAATTCTATTTCATCTGCCCGCTAAATCTTAACTGTGCAATTTACTCCAGAAATGGGAGCTGAAATTCGCTGGTGTTTTGATGGGAGCCCGGAGCACTCTGTGCTCTGGGCTGTGAAGGAGGCACAGACCTCTTGTTGGAACTGTACTTGCTCAGAGCATGCAGGCAGTATGTTAATGAGCTGTACCTAATTGCACTGACACTGTTGGCTCTGAAACCTAATGATGACGACATGGTAATGCTCAGGGTTGAGGGGTTTGATAACCAGTGTCTAGAAACTTAAAGCAGCACACTGTAAAAATCCAGGAATTCGTTTGGAATGATGGATGAACTTCCAAGAGGGAAAATCTTGGTGCTGCAGGAGGGGTTCTCTCTACATGGCTTAAAGAAATACTTTTGAATGTGAAACTCTAAGTTTGGCAAATAACAAAAAATGGATGTAAACCTTGGAAAAGTAATTTTGGCAAATGCAGCATCCTGCCTTGGAACGGGAGCAGCAACATCTCTGGTGCTGGGGACAGTGCAGAGAGGTGACACCAGGGGGATGTGAGCTGGATGAGGGGGTTTGGGAGCACACAGTGCTGGTGGGGAGGGTATGAGGGACAGGAGAGAGACAGGAAAGGGCATGGATGGAGGCTCAAGGAAGGACACACCTGAGCAGCATCTGTTGGGCTGCTTAAAGGCAGGGTGTAATTATACTTTACAAAATGACCTGGACAGGAGGATAAATGTTGTGGGGTCTATCCAGCTGGGCCTCCTGGTCTCCACAGCAAGCAGCCAGGCCATTTGCTTTCCCTTCCCTCAACACTCCCCTCCAGAGCTGGGGTTTGCTCTGGTTTTCACCCCGTGTCCCACCCAGCCTGTCCCAAGTGGATTCTTGGCCAGGGATGTGTGAGGGTTCAGCATCCCTGCGTGTGCTGGGGCTGTTTGGAGATGGTACAACAAATTTAAATGAAATAACCTTGTAGATCCTCTTGGATCCCCTGCTGAGCGATCTGTGATCATTGTGGGGTTGGTGGCAGCTCTCTCCCAGCAGCTGCAGATAAAACACCTTTCTCTTGCTTGCCCAGCTGTGATCGACCCCATAAAACTCAAAACTCCAGTATCAAAGGTTCCTCTGTGTGTCCCTCTGTGTGGTGGTGTTGGGTACGTGGTAGGATTTGCTCTCTTCATGGCTGGATGTTCTTCTCCCCTGTCCAGTGCTGGGTGGCTGCTCCCAGTGCAGCACTTGGCTGCTGCTGGATTCAGGGCATGGGACACTCATTTGCTCATTCCTCTTAAATTTAAAAGGTCAAATAATTTCACAAAGATTTTGTGCAAAGCCCAGCTGATTTCCATTTTGCTGCTTATCTCCTTTCCTTGGGAGCTGACCCTGGCACCCGTGCCAACCCTGGCTTTAAATCCATTCATCCCAGCCCTGAGAACTCCAAGCTAATACATTAGCACAGCAGGAAAGTTGAATTATTTAGAATCTTTCCCTCTGTGTTGTTCCTTGCCTTCAGCTTCTGGTGTTGAGGGAGCAAAACCTTCAGATGGAGCACAAGTGAGGAACAGGTAGTTAATTTGGTTCTAGTGGTGTTTTTGATGTTTTTGGATGAATTATTAAAACAGCTGTGAACACTGAAGCTGGGCAGAGCAGGGGCTCAGGACACCAAGCCCAGTCCTCTTCTCTGCACAACCATTGCTTTATTGGCTGCCCATCCCGTCTCTAACAGAGAATATTCCAAACTGAGAGTGTTAATTTCCTGAAATTGAGCAGTTTCTATGAAAGGATTAGTCCCTCTTAGGGCCTCACTGTGTTCAATATTTCAAGGTCCAAAGAACGCTGGGTAATGCCTTGCAAATCACCAGGTGGGTTACGAGGTTAATTAAGTTTTAGTAGCCCAAACTAGGAAATTGGACTCTTTTGATATGAGAAGTGTTTTCTGTGCAGGATTTTGCATTGCACTGCTCCCTGCTCAGAGACTGCAGGGTGTTCTGGCCTGCCAGGATGGTCCCTGTGCTCTGGGATCCCCAGGTGCCTTTTGGGGCAAACCAGGAGCTCTGCAGGAGGAGTGTTCAGTGTGCAGAGATGGTGTAGCTACAGAGCAGGGCAGTGTCCTAAAAGAGCCCTTTAATTACTAAGGAAGATACTCAGCCTGTAGTAGATAACAACTCAGAGGAGGGTTAAAAACAGTCTGACAAGGCATTGGGGTGCCCAGTGCTGTTCTTCACTGGAGAAGCAGGGTTTAAAGTGCCCTGTTTGCCCCCAGTGTGGGACAGGGTTGTAAGAGACTCAGACTGGGGGTGCTGGGCTTGCTGGAGCCCTGGTGGCCTGTGCTGCAGCCAGGTCTGCTTTCAGGAATTTCTGATTCCCTGGGTATTTTCAGCTGGCTCCTGTGTTAATCTATGCCCCATGTCACAAGAGCCTTTACCCCCAGGTAGGGAAGTGATTCATGAGCACACTGTGTGTAAAGGGAGTTTGAAAAGTGCTCTGTAAATATATTTGGCTTCTTAATTAGATGTTAATATAGCAAGGCAGAAACATGTGTTGTTTCCAAAAATAATAATTCCGTTATTTTCAGAACTCCAGGAACTGGGGATTAGGGGATTAGCTGTGCTCCAGCCACGTGCTGGCTGCCTCACTGGACAGGCTGCAGCTGGAGTGGGCAGCAGGGAGGGTCCTGCTCCTCTTGGGGTCTGCTGAGCCACAGCTGAGAGGAGCTCAGGGACCCTCAGCTCCTGCAGGTGACAGTGGGAGCCACAAGTGTCTCACAGGCTGTGCTGAGGAAGGGAAAGGTGCTCTGGAGCCTCCTCTCTGCTCCTGGGAACTCCAGCTCTGCATCTGGGACAAAGTTGGTGTTGATCAAGCACTGGCTTCACTCGGTGGTGGGTATTGCTGGCACAAGTCAGGAGGATTTTTGGGACATGGATGTGATGTGACGTTGGAGCGCCTCGTCCCTGTGTGTGTTCCTGGGTAGGGACCAAAGTCTGCACAGATCTGGGATTGTGTAATCTTTTGGCTTGGTTGCGGGAAGAAAGGGGTGATAAAAGGTGAATTTAAGTAGCTGAGTTTTCCAAAACACTGGAGTTCTCTTCCTACCTCTGCATATTGGGCCACATCTCTGTGTGTGCAGGAATTCTTCTATTTCCTTTAAGTTTCCTAAAGTAGCCACATTCTGTTTGTGGACAAGGCAGGGAAGAGGCTTTCCCTGTTATTCTGCCTCTCTCAAGCACAAACCCCACTGTCCAAGACAGCAGCTTCTTTCCCTCACCCTCTGCCTTGCCACCAAGTGACCTTCATGGCCAGCACCACTGCCCCGGGGCACTCAGACTGGGCCACTCAGCTGCTGCTTTTCATATGGAGCTGGAATTGGGCAGCAGCCTGTGCAGGCAGCTGGGATTAGGAACAGCTCAAGTGGAGATAGTGCTTCCAATCCTCCTCCTCTGCTCTGCAGCCCGCTGGGATTCCTTCATCAGAGGGGAAAGTTTATTTGTGCGCTGGGTGAACAGAACCGCGGCGAAGCTGCTGGCAGTGGCTGTGCTGTCCTTGACTTAGCAAAAATCCAGCTCTGCAAGTAGGATAAAACCCTCAGCAGCACTGCCTGCCAAATGTGAGCAGCTCCAGTGAAGCAGGAATGGCCAGCCCACCACCCGGGAGGAGCAGCACTGCTGCCTCCCACGTGGAGGAGCGCGGCCCCGTGGCGTGCGCGAGTTCCAGGAGCCTCCTTGAGCCTCATTGCCTCATCCCGCACCAGAGGAGGGGAATGAAAGGTCACATCACAGAGCTGCAGCACTGAGTGAAAAGTGTCATCCAGAAAAGCACACAATAAATGGGCTTAATTGTCCTTGGTGGGAAATGAGCTGGGAGAGCAGGAAAAATGTCACAGGAATATGGACCAAGAGGGATTCTGCTGCTCCTGGAGCTTGGCCCCATCATGTCTGCTGTGCTCACCAGAGCCTCTGCCACAGATGCCTCTTTTGGGATGTCCAGAATGCACAGGAAATTGATTTTGGGATACCCAGTGCATTCCTGGTCCCTAAAGAAGCAGAGATTAACCCAGGGAAGCAGCAGGCTGGACTTTGCCTGTCTGGAGAGGGGAAGGACCCGGCCGCTGTAATGAGAAGGAATTGCAATAACTGATGGCGGAATTCCTCCACAGAATGGGAAGGAAATGCCATTACCTGTTCCCTCACAGGGTGTTTTGTGATCCCACAGATCCCATAAATGTATCTGAGATGCTTGCAAAAGCTTTCCCCTTCCCCTGGAGGGTGGGATCTTGCTGCTGCCCCACAGCTTCCCCTGGGCTGACATCTGAGAAGGGCAAACCCCGCGTGCTCTGGCAGTGCTACCAGTGTTCTGGAGCTGAACTTCTTATTCAGTTCAAAGATATTCTGATTCACAAATGAGCAGGTAAAAGAGAACATAAACCATTTTTTATAGCTTTTTTTTTATTGTTCAAGCCTGGATTCCCATGGAGTGTGTGGAAAGCAGCTAATGCTGATTCAATGAGACAGCGTCAGAAAGGGAAATCTGTTCTCTGTGTGTAGTGCCCTGGGCTCCTCTGGGGGATTTTATTTATTTTTTTATAATTGGGGAGAAGTGGTAGAAAAATGATGGTGGTGGAAGAATGGGGTGTCTGCAAATAATTTAGAGTACTGACATTAATGTGGTTCAGTGCAATTCAGGGCCATGTTAGATTAGCCTGCAGTGTTATTCACTAACAGAACAGCCTTTCCTTTCCTTCTCCTCTCCTTCTCCCTGTGTGTGCAGGCAAAACCAGGATAAATGTGGAGTTGAGGCCTTGGTTCAGG